CCAGCAAAAAAAAAAAAAAAAAAAAATATTAAAAAGGGCATAATTGTCTTTTTTGGGTGCGGTATTTAGTAAAAAGGGGTGCGGTATTCATTAACACTCATTCAAGAATCGGGAACTTGGAATGGCAGATTGTAAGGAAATATTGATATGGTAAGTTGAAAAATACGTGCAAGCTAGTCGAATAGTAGTTTTTCCCAATCACCGATGCATTTCATTCATGTCATAAGGGTATCTCATAAAAATAGTATAGTTCAAAACTTATCATCCCGTCAAGCTACTGTATCGGGCCAAAAAAGTACTCGCAGTATACTTTAATCTATACTTATATAATAAGAATTAACATTTATCAAAATTAGTAACTTAATTAATGGTCAAAGTCAGTTTTGCATTAATTACTTTCCAAAATCGGTAACTTTTATGTTCTTTTCACACTTCTCATTAATTATGTCCTTTTTACACTTCTAATTAATTATGTCATTTTCACACTTCTCATTAATTATGTCCTTTTCACACATTTAATTAATTCATTAATTACGACATAATTATCATAAATCATTCCATCTGAGCTTTTATCGTTAAAATGTATAGCGATATGTTATGACCTTATCCCATTGATATTTCCACGAAGTGTCCTTATCGCGTTCTATTTTTTGGTAACCACTCTATATCAATAACCGGATATTTGGTTAATGATAGCACACGTCTTTATTTCAAGGAGCGGATATTCTTTGACTTTTAATTAATCTGAACTGATTGCCTTGACTTTTCAATTTTTAAAAACTCTTTTGTTAAATATTTCGGCTTAAGATTCGGATTTCATTATACAAGTTATCGGATTGTTTGAATGAAAATGAATGAAAAGAACACAAAAAACAGGTAGCCTTATTCATATAACCAATTCTAAAATATTAGTTTGTTCACCAAAAATATTAGTTTGATTTTTAGGATTTGTCTCTTTTGAAAATATTAGTTTGTGATAATGAGGAGTTACCAAATAATCAAACTCATAATGTTGTGTACAAGGAGGTTTTTAACAATATATGACTGTTACCGAACTTTTTATGATTCAACAATGTTCCTATGTATTTTAATGATTTCAATTTCGATCCTAATGCACGTAAGGTTATATTATTCTTCCAAATTTTACATCTCGTGCATCGCACGGGTTACGTACTAGTATACAAATATAACATGAGATAAATGAGTCCCACGGCATTCCCTCTCATATGTACCCAAATGTTTACCTTTTATACAACTATCAATCAGATACTGATCAAAACTTGAGCAGCATAGCATACCAAGCTATGAGAATGCCAAGTCCCCAAAATACACGGTTATTCCCTTTGATCTGCCCCTCACGAAATTCTCTTCTATCTGCAAAGATAATGAGAATTATTCGTAAGTGGAATCAACAAGAATTTAGTGGCAAGTGATAAACACCAAATGCACTATTATAAGGAATAATATTATAACCCCTCCATTTTCATTCAATCTTACATTTTCGAAAATATCTGTTTCATTACATATGTCACTTGTGGAAAACCGAGAAATTAAATTACAGTTTCCTTGAAATTCAATTATTGAAATTTGAAAATGACAAAAATTCAACAAAATGTCATTAAATTTGATCGTGACCTTTCTTAATATATGTGAGAATCATCAGAGAATGGTACAACAAAACGGAAGGAGTATATACCTCAATATTCAATGGAGGAGATGACAGCCATGAAAGTTCTCTTGCTTGAAGCACATCAGTGGTACGAGGCAAGAACATGATGATGTTAGGTGTTATAGCCTGAGCAACTTGAAACAAGGAATATCTGCAAATACACAACAAACACATGCACTGTTTAGAACAATTTTGTCGTGTACTTATAGGATTATAAACATGCAAAACAATTTTGGTTGGATTCCCATGAAATTCCAATTACATAATGCATACAGGCTAAAAGAAGACATCTTTCTTTTTTCTTTTTTCTATTTTTTCCTTTTTTTTATTTATTTATATCAGATTAATGCAATATCAGATTTATCATATGCCATTAGATGCTCTGAAAAATAAACACCACCTTCTATAAAAAAAAAAAAAACCCAACTTTTAAATTACGTACCTTTTCCCTTCAACAAATAAGAAGAGTAGAAAAATATATTGACTAGGGGTTTTTAGATTTCTAACCCCTATTGAATTCACCCCACTACATGTGGTTGCTGACTATACCTCGCTTATATGGTATATATGCATAGAGATACTAAGAGTAAGTGAATGTCAAAGATTGATTTGATTTTCAACATGGAGAAATTTGGTAAAATAACCCATCATTAACAAATACCCATCTTTTGGCTTCAACAAGTCGAGAGTAAACGTTTCGTTTGCCTTATATGATGGGCCTCCCCAAGGTGGTGAAAGAAATACTACATCCCCCTGATAAAGTTATCAACAAAATTGAATTTAGCAAAGGTAGTGCTATTTCTGGAACAAGAGAATGCCGATCATAAAAGAAGAAAACTAATAGAAAAACAGAATATTTACGAACAACAGTTAACTATGTCAACCGTACAACTTAAATCATTGATCCGTTTTACTTCTTTACTTAGGCCATACTGTCCGTTGATTTTGAGGCCACTTATCCACTAACTTATGCTTGTAAGTCACTCCACATAGACTAAGAATAAGGTATGACTTAACCATTGATTTACTTAATTGGACTTAATCATTGATCTACTTAAATCAGCTGCAAAATTCCTCTAAATCACTTATATATATTCTCCAAATTAGATTTGGACCAGCATCGTATCTCTCTACTTATTGGCTTAATATATTTCACTTAGATAATAGTAATGCAGCAGCCTGATTATACGTATATTTGATCCAATTTCAGTTAAATTAGATACAAAATCTAAAGTTGCAAGTATAACCAGTAAATGAGACAAAATACATATTGCAGTAACTTAAATTTCTATTTTTGTTTGTTAGAAGTTTTTAGGTGTATCTATTGTCTGACAAATACATAAGTAATCATCTCCAAAAATAAGATTCAATTATAATCGTTGAGGATATACAAATCATCACATATGTGATAAGCAAAAAACCGGAAGGAAACATAAGAAGGGCAATACAAAAGCTGCACAATCTGAAAAGAAAAACGAGCGAGTGGAAGTAAATTATTGAACAGCGTTAAAAGAGTGAAAAGGCAGATCCAAATAACAAGCACCATGCAATCAATAACATATTAGTAATGCATATCACAAAATAATCATAAAGTTTTGCTTTTGGGACAAATTGGATGGAAAAAAAGGTCCCAAGTTCTGATTCACATAGAGATGCATAAGTAGGGGAAAAAATAAACTCCACGAACAACCACTTTTAAGAAATCCGGCATTTTTTGGATAAAACAGCTTCTGATTCATTATACTGTCTTACTGCATCCTATGACAGAAAGTAAAAGTTCGAACAAATAAGCATCCTCAAAAGGGGCAAATACTTGAAAGAAAAATAAGAAATAAAGAAACAAAAAAGAACCTCCAAAGAAGGTGCAAGCTGGAAAAAATCCCCAACAATGAAATCAATATTATCTCGTACGCCATAAATCTTAGCATTATGAATCGCGAGGGCCACCTTGTTCGGGTCTATTTCAACAGCAACAACACGACGGCACCTGACCATATAAACATGGTGTTAATCAAGTGCCCAACTGCACACCATAATTTAATAGCAAATACCACAACAAGTAGAACCATAATAGCCTCTCTACACACATTCATCTACAATCATACACACAGAAACCCTGTGCCCAGATAAAAATACTTCATACTTAGCTGCATTTCTTAAGCGAGGAAAGTGGAGCTACTGGCAGTATACTAAATCCCCAAATCTCAATTCAGAAGTTACAGAAAACCAAATATCTATGCATGGTGTTAAATTAAGTGCTCAGCTGCACACCAAACTTAATAGAACCTTGTGACTAGGCAAAGATACTACACATTTTGCTGCATTTTTAGGAAAGTTGAGCAATTGGCATCACACTAAATCCCCAAAACCTAATTCAAAAGTTACAGAAAAGCAGCAGTATACAACATTCAGAATACCCTTCAACCCATATATGCACGAATTATCTCTACAGTGACAATACAACTGACTCACACTTTGGCGAACTGAATGGCGTTTCCACCAACGCCGGCGAATGCGTCAATGACGACTCCGGCGCCGGCGCACCGGCGTGCCTGGCCAGCGGCGATTTCCTCCGGCGTGACGGAGAACCAACCCTCTTCATCCAGCTTGACGCCCTCGTCGTATCTGGAGAAAAGATTGTACCTTTGGAACCAGTACTTCTTCACGAGAGGGGTAACGTTTTCTATCTCTTCCAGACTGTTCTTCTTCTTCTTCTTTTGTGCAACCCTTTTAGCCTTGATTTTCACTTCACAAACAAGAGAAAAAAACTTGAACAGATTTTCTAATTGGTGGTACAAACAGTTCGCGTATTGGAAATTGTGCTGTACCTTTTCGTTTGAAACGCTTGCGCTGTTTTCTTGTTAGATGCACAACGGCGACGGAAAGTTTGGCCGGTGACATTTTACTCATATGCGAAGGATTTACACCTCGTCAATCTGTGTGAAAATCACACGTCTGTTTCAGAATGCAAGCTATACAGCGAGTACTCTCAAACGCAGATAGGCATCGAGAAAAAAGAGCAATTGAAATTCTGGATTAAAAATATGAGTAAATTATAATTTTAGGGGTTGAATGCACCAAATTCCCATGTATTGTTAGATCCCTTTGTAATGTATTTTTGCATGCACGAAGTAGCCTAAACTGTCTAAGATGACAGAAGTGGTGTGCACGCACTTGTTGTGCGGCTTTTTCTTCATCTTTTCACCTTAAAGTCGCGGAATTTATATTTTTACCCTTAAAATTAGCCATTTAAATGACTTCCCCACATTTCACCCTAATCTCGCCCAACGACTCCCTTCCCTTCTTCATTTCAGCTACTTTTTTTTTTATTCTTGTACTTGGCAAGCAGAACAAGAAACTCCAAGTGGCTCACTTTACCTCGAGAGACTTTTCAGCAATCGGGCATAGAATGCATCCTTTTCTGCTTCTTGTGAGCACTTGTTTCGGTAATTGCCTTTGCAAAGGCCTCGACAATCCTCTGCTGCGACTCGAGGTTCATTTTGGGTCCTCTTGATCCAGCGGCTGTGAATAGTCCTTTTGTTTGTGGTCGTGATTGTACAAATCGTTGATGCGCTTGATGGTGTTTCTGCGTCCGTCATCATCCTCGTCTTCCTCGCCATCTGAGGATGAGGAGGACGGATCGCCGCCGAATCCCTTCTCCATGGCGTCCATCCCCTGGAAGTAGGCCCACGACGAGGCATACGCACGGCGGCCCGTTAGATCTCGGGCAGTACCGCTTGCGGAGCTTCTCCATCTTGTGACGGCACTGGCGGCGGTCTTCGTGGGCGTGCCGGGGCAGCGCAGCGGAGGTTGCTTCGCCGGAGGGAGTACCAGTGGTTGGCGCGGAGGTTGCTGCACTGGAGGGAGTACCACTTGTCCCTGTAGGCGTCGATAAGGGCCGTCGTCTCGTTGGGAGACCAACACGGGGGAGGGAAGCGGCAGGAGGCGGTGGCGACAACGGCGGTCGCGGCGGGGAGGGCTAGGGCGGTGGGGATGTGGCGGTCGTCGTCACCGCGAGGGGAGGATGAGGACGGGGACACGGTCGTGGCGGCCATGGCTGTTTCTACAATCGACGATCTGGTGAATAATTGGAGGATGAGAGAGAAAGTGGGGAAGGAGCGGCGGAGGGTTTTGGCGTGAATGAGTGGAGATCTGATTTTTTGTTGAATGTGGGAAGAATTTAGTGAGTCGATCGCAAAGAGAGAGATTATGTTTATGATTGAAATTTCAGTTTTACTTGTAAAATATAATAAATGAGGGCATAACGGGAAGTTTATAAAAAAAATTAACAGGGTTAACACTCAAATATAACTTGGGGAGCGTCAGCTCGTCAACCCTTAATAGAAGAGGGTCTAACGCAATTTTTGAATTAGAGGGTGGAAACACCCAAATTTAGTATAATACAGGGGGGATTTGGTGCATTAAACCCATAATTATAGTCATGTATGTTTTACTACTATAACTTTTTCGTCCTCTTCGAATTGCATTTCCTATTTTTGTCCCGTTGTTTGCAAAATATCACTACCTGCAAGTGTACGGTATAGCTATAGTGAGTGGCGAGCAAGGTCGTATTCCACAGAGATTGTTGTCAAAATAACTAAGTATCAAAATGTAAACGATTAAATATTATTCAGTCTAATGCAAATTTGAATGGTTGTTTTATTCTAAACTAACTACTAAATGATTGCAAAATAAATTCTAACACTAATGAAGGCTTGTTCTAAGATAAATCAAGAATGAGAAAACATATTCTAGGCTATGCTTTCCTCGGGATTATTCTAGCAAAGATTTCTTATTCATTCAAACTTTATTTAATTCTACCATTCGTAGGGATAATCACTTAAGTAATTTACACATTTCTCTCGAACAAGTTAAATCGTAGATATTAATTGTTATCTATCTCCTATCGGTCTCAAGATGAACAATCAACTCCCATAAGCTCCTAAGATTCTAGTTCCCTCGCAAGATTCTATCAACCTCTCTGTCTGTTTAGTCTCTTACGTTATGAATTTCCCAATTCTATCAATCAGCTATCTCCTCTCGGTCTCAAGTCAATCACAAATATGCACAAATACGGACCCTATATTCACACAATTAATAAAAGCACAAGAAATTGGTAAACGAATGATAAGCCGGAATGAATAAATAAAATCACTTCATAAAATAATCCGAGTACTCACAAATCTTAGAATCCCTAAAAAGTTTAGCTACTAAACATATTCTCAAAACTCAAAATAAATATATTCATGAGTTCAATGAAGAAGAAAAAGAGAAAAGAAAGAAGAACTATTGTCGCCGTTAGTTCCCGAATCTTCAATCTGGACTTCCTCGAATCCCTCGTGTGTTTCGTGCTTTCTCTAGGCCTCCAATGGTGTCAAAAGTCCCAAAAATGAGTTCTCCAAGTCTGTTTTATACTGTAGGGCAATTCTGGGTCGAAAAAGGGAAGAAATAGCGTAAAAATCTTATTCCCCGCTGAACTGGTCTGCACGTCACACGACTCGTGTCATATACCACACAAGTCGTATGACTTTTCTATACATTTCGGCGAACTTCCAGACTCACACGACCACACACACGACCGGGTCACACAACCCGGGTCTCAACTCACACGACCCGTGTGAAAAGCCGTAGCTGCGTCTCTTATTTTCTCAACCCACACGAGTCGTGTGGCCTCGTCTGCACCCGTTTTCGCCGTTTTTCGTCCCCATTCCATTTCCAACGCTTTTCCGGGCCTGCAAAAACAACGACAAAAACACCTCTATCATAGATTAATAAATAAAACAAAATGGTGCACAATCACACGATAACCATAGCCAAATATCACAATATATCACTCATAATGCATGAAAATATGATGAATGTCACCCGTATGTTTGCAAAAGATTACAAAAAGGTCTTTTTCATATATAAGGGACGAAATTAGAACCTTTTTTTCACAAAATATAAAGGACCTTTTTGTTGCGACGAAATTGAAACTTTTTTTTACAAAACATAAAGGACCTTTTTGTTGCGTCGAAATTGAAACTTTTTTTTACAAAATATAAAGGACCTTTTGTTGCGAAAAAAGGACCTTTTTGTAACCTTTTTGCAAACATACAAGAAGAAAACCAAAAATGCAATTCGAAGAGGACGAAAAAGTTAAGTTAGTGAAACATACAAGACTAAAATTGCATTTTATTCTAAAAAATCGTTGTTGGGTTTGTTTTATGAATTAACTAGTGTTAATACAATCGGTGCTAGTTAAAAAAAATTGTATTGAATTATTAAAAAGAATATAAGAGATAAGTTTTTTTTTATATATTTAACTTTTCAAATACTTTTAAAAAAATTATATTATTATTTCTTATATATGTTTACTACTTTTTAAATTTTACATTATTATTTATATTTAAAATGAAACTTTTCACACTCATGATTTGTCATTCTTATATTATAACACTTAAATAATTCATTTGTAATGACTTTACAGATAATTTTTTTTAATTGATATATAATTTTATTAATTGTTAATTAGTATTAAATATTGATAGATGATTTATATTTATAATAAAGAAATTAAAATATTTACTTATTTTATATATGTAATATGGATATAAAATTGAAATTTGTCAAATGATGATTAATTGGATATTTTACATATAAAAAATTGATAACAAATATAAAAGTTAATAACTTTTTAAATACATTTATAATATAAGTTAGTAAAATGTTTTAGAATTTTAAAAGTTAAAATAAATATGGATATAACACGTATCTGGATTGTTATAAATTGACGTATATTTTAAGGGAAAATGCTACAATTCCATTACGAAACCATTCCATTGGGATTTGTAACCGTTAGATCATCAAGTAACCGTCAATGATAGTTGATCTAACGGTTACAAATCCCAACAGAATGGTTCCGTAAGGGATTGTAGTCTTACCCTATATTAAGAAACATCATAATTCTACACATAGGATTATGAAGCACCAAGAATAAACACGTAGGACAGAGATATTATGCATTAATATAAAGGAGGAGATTTTTGTTTGTGCAAATGCACGGGTCTATTTAAAATAAAATAACTTTACTTCTATTCATTTTTCTCATCTCTTGTTTCGTATTTTATTTTTTTCAAATGCTTTTTATTTATAAAGTTTTATTTATATATTCATAATTAATGTGGTTTACAAAAGTCATCGATTTTTTAATTTTTATTTACAGCAAATACATTTATTTAGGTGTTTGGAGTATTGAATTTATAGTTTTATATGTTTCGATTGATAATCTTATATTATTTTCAAATATCTTTTCATATTTGCTATAATTATTTTTAACTAATTTAATTTAATTTTTTATATTATATATATTTATTAATAACGAAAAAATGTATATTTATTATTTTCAAATGCGTTCATTATTTTTAAATAAAATATGTTAACCAATTTTAAGATATTTTGTTAAATATTCTAAAAAAAATTGGACTTTGTAAAATACTTATCACTCTATGTATTTCAAACCCTTTTCAATAACTTGAATGAATGATTGGAAAATATTTTTTATTTTTAACGGTGAGAAATGTGGATAACATGTTATAAAATGTTGTGATTAAGTTACACGATCTACATCACATTATTTAATAAATTCAAAAGACATTAGATATTATCCATAGGAAAAAAAATAAGGATATATAATAGTTGTTTAAGTTAAAAGGAGTGGAAATCTTTTGTCTTAGTTAAAAAGGTGGTAAACTACTTTGTTCACTTCTATACTTATATTAAAAGGTATACCATTTACCAGATTTAGTATAAAGAAAATTCAACAGCATTTATTGCATTACTATTTCCGTATTATACAATCTATACTTATATAAAAGGAGATTCTATTTACTACATTTACTATCCAGAAAAGTCAACTGCATTAAATGTCATTACTATTTTGATATTATAATATTTTATTTATTTAACTGATTTATTTATTTATTTTATTTTAAAAAAGTAAGTATAATAAAAAGATTTTAATAATAAAAAAATCAAATACCAAATAAAAATGTACACTTTGACTTATTTGATTATACCAAATATATTCCTATTTAGTATATACATTAAATACTTACTAAAGTATTTATTTGTTTTATTTGTCAAAATTAAGTATAGATTTGTTTATATTATCAAATCATAAAAAAATATTAAATCCATATTGTAAAAAAAAAATCATATAATTTTATAACAATTCTACTAAACTATTTAACAATATTTCTTTTTTATTATATAATAAAATAATAATTAAATATTATATGATGAACAACAATAAGTAAAACTGTTACTTTCTCTTATATCAAGGGATAACTTTATATGCTAAAATTAAACTCTTATTAGTATAAATGTTTTAGTGAGATAATATATTAATTATTTGACAAGCTAGCCCTAACATGTCCATATTTAATGTTTTAAAAGATGTAGAAAAAAAACTTATAATAACTCTATTGTTTTTTAGACTTAAACGTTGATTAAAAGAGGTAAAAATTCCTAATTTTTTAGAGTTAAACGTTGATTAACACCATAGATTGAGAGTTTATATTTAGTAAAATTCCTAATTGTAATAAAAAATTAATTTTTGTTATATTTTATTTTTAAGTTCATTATGAAAAAAAGAAAAAAAAAACTACAATGAAGAAAGCAAGTCAACTATATATCGATTTGTTGTACTCCTCAAATCACATTCACAATTTGGCTACAAGGAAAAGAAACTCATTGATTAAAATATTATTTTGTCAGTAGTCTTAATGTATAAGAGACTTTAAGACTCCACTTGAATATTATAAAACTTTTATTGAACATTGTACAATTTTCTTGCGTATTATAAACTCTTATTGAATATTGCATCTTATAATATAATATTCTCCAAATATATCTTGTGTTTCGCACGGGTCATGTACTATATATATCCCGTACATTTTTCTTTATTCATGTATATAATTATAAGCCTGGATAAATAGCCTTAAAATTGTGCACCCCGTGCATCGCACGGGCTCTGTACTAGTTATGCCTAACAAGCTTTCAGAAAGGCTATAGGCTTCCAAAATATCTTGGTTCGAATTTTTGAAACTTTTCTCTCTCTCAAAACTTTTCTCTCTTCGAAAGAAAAAAAGGCCCAAATT